ACATTCATCCACTTTAGTTCATTTGCTGTGCTTTCAATGTCAAAACGACGTGGAACCAAACTATATCTATATGTGACTGGCCTGTGGCATGACCACAATTACACGTTCCCAAATGGCCTTCACCATCGTGCTCCCTCCCTGGCCGTAAGTGATAAATACACAGCAGATGCCAAATCATTTCTCCAGTCCATGGACAGGCCTAAACTTGTACAATGTTTAGTGTTGCAGTAGCATAAACGCTTACATCATTGAAGAGGAACTTAGTACTCCTGCGTCTGTAGGATCAAAGCCTTGTTTCCCAGAGGAACGACGGACTCTAAGCCAATGTGAAAAATTCCACATACAGATCAGTCAGCCACCCATTCAGATCGATCGCCAATACCAAGGGCAGGAGGTGTTGTCTTTTCTTCCAATGCCTTTTTTGGGGGGGAAAGCAGTGTTTGCTGGTTTTGGTAGGACATTGTAGATTTCATGTCATTGTATTATTTGTTTACTAACTGGTGTAATTGCAATTAATTCATAAAATTACTGAATAAACAACTTATTCTGACATTGCTAGGTTTTAAGGGTTTGGGAACCAAAGGAAAGAAAATACAGGGAAAGAGGATATGCAGTGTGTGATGTGATCCTTCACAATAGTTTTCCCAGACTTGTAGGGAATAATTTCACCCACAGATTTTGCAAATTTAAGATCAACATCAGTCCTTATCTTCAAGGAAGTATCTTGCAGAGCAGGTTTTAAGGGCATGACTTTTCACCATACTTTTTGCCCTTTAATATTGCTTTCCCCTCCTCCCTCTACCATCAGATAATGCAATATTCTTAGCCCTCACATTGCTACTAGTGAGGTGGTAGCTACAGATGTGTAGAAAGCAAATAATCTGCCCAGCTTGTAGTCATGTTAAAAATTCACAGATCCAATCCTCCTCTTACATTGCAGATTATTGCTAAAAGATGTTTTTGCACAATCACATTTTTATCAATTGGGCCCTTCCTTACCCTCCCAAATATAAAATGTATCTGATCAACAATGAGCAAACTTTTCTACTGCAATAAATGATATACAGCCAGTTTTGTTTGCCCACTGTTGGGTTGAAGTTCTGGGCAACGTTACATGTGCGGAGCATTTGCTGATTAATGGCCAACATCACCAAAGGCACCATACATGATACCAATTGGAATTTCAGCCCATATTAGTTTTGCTTTCTGGACAGTTGTGGAGCTAAGAGGACGGGAAGTTGCCCTGCTCTTAACAAATGTTGAATTACAACTGGTAAAATAAAATAAAAGGTGAGTAGCCTCTCCTTCCGCTTACTTCCCCTCTTGCCTGGTCAATATCAGAATTGCATCTAAACAACAGTTTGATGCTGTGATGGGAAGTCAGAGGGTAGTTATTTAGAATGATAGGATCAATAGGCCAAAGGGCCTTCTTCATCCAAACCAATCTTGTAATCTTACAACTCAATGTTGTAGGGCATTTGTACATCGTTACATTACCTTTTACTTAAGAAATTATTTTTGTTTTCTTGTGTTAATCTCTAAGACTGATGAAACAAGACCAAGTATGCCCAGCACTTCAATTATGTCAATCAAAATGTGGAGAAAGTGAAAATTGCTCTGAGATATCTATGGAATGTCTTCTAAGTCTTTCTACAAACATTCTGCTTCCCCACTTGCCAGCCATTCTATTTTAACCTAACTAATGCTTTCAGGGGGAAATAATCCCTTCAAAAAAAATAATAATAATAATTTGGTCAATCAATCCACGCCTGTTTGTGGGACACTGCTGTTCGCAATTGGCTGCCGTGTTCCACCCACAAAAATACGTACTCCCTAAGCTTTACAGTATATTCTGTGAAGCATTTTGAAACTTCTCAACAATGTGATAAGGCGCTATATCAAATGCAAGGATTATTATTATTATTTTAGGATTTCTAAAATCCAAATTTTGGAACTTGTGAAACAAAATCCAACTTGGAAATCCAACTTTATCCAAGTGGTAAATCCCTGGTCCTTTGCTTTGGAAACTAAAATGCTCTTCTCTGTATCTTTTACAGAGTTTGGAAATCTCTCTGAAAGCATCCATACAACTGCTCTTCAGTAAAGCTAAAGGAAATACAGTAAAAGTATCTATTGACAAGCTGGTAGTTTTCAAGCTTCATGTAACATTGGTTCTCAGTAGATGTCCTAACTTGTGATTTCAAGGGAAAAAAGTCACAGAGTAACCAGCTACAGGAAACAAGATCCAGCTGACTACACACAGGTCAAAGCTCAAAACATACTGGCCTCATTCTCTTTATAGAAACATTAAAGACATTTAAACGAATACTGCAGAGAATGCCCACAAATGTCTTTAATGGTAATAATCATTGCATTTGATGTAGCAAGTTTCAAATCGGGAGGATGTCTCAAAAAGCTTCAGAGGATTATAATTGAATGCATATTTTGTAGGCAAACGCAGCAGCCAATTTGCACAGAGCAATATCCCAAAAAACAACCATGAAGCAAATTGACCAATTTTATTTGGAAGATTAATGGCTAGTAGATGGAGAGAAACTTCCTTCTCTTTTAGAATGATATCAAGGGTTTTTTAACATCCACCTGAATGGGCGTTCACAATTCATTTTAATGTTCTTATATGAAAGACAGCACTTCCAACATTGCAGCATGCTCCCAGCACTTCATTGTAGTGACAGCCTATGTGAGTTCAAATTACTGCCGTGAGGCTTGTACCAATGACATTCTGACTCAGAGACAAGTGTTTTACCAATGACCCAAGGCTGACAGCTAAAATTTGCAAGACTTACTTTGCTATTTGCTAGTTCATCATGTCAAATGTATACATCTTATAGCATTAATTTTAAATGCACAAATAGACATCATGGGGACAGGAAGTTGCCAATACAGCCTGGCAACAACAACAACAACAACTTGCACTTATATAGCACTTTTCACACCAGACAGCATCTTGGAACGCTTAGCCTGTTCCACCATTTTATTATATCATTCAATGCTGTTTCTGTTCTTTTTCTCCATATTCCTATAAAACTATTTATCTATCCACCTATTTCCCTTTCTAACAGCCCAAATCAATTCTGTTTCCGTAGCCTCTGGGAAGTGCTGCCTGTTCTTCCCACACTGGGTGCCAATTTGCAGTACTTTGAAAATGTGCACGGAGTTTACATGGAGTGCCTGGTGCAAAGCCTGTGCTGCCAGCTCCATTGGGAGCCAAGTCCGGAATGAAAATGGAATCCAGTCAGCATTTTGCTTGACTTTGAAGAGTGTGAACTCAGCGATTCCACTAAATTGCACATTGGGTCAAGTATTCCTGATTAAACAAAGAGCAAGGTCACTTCTGTTGTGATATTGGGAATATGTATGCTGTTATCTCATTAGTTGGCAGTTAAAGATTATGCTATTTTTAGAATAAATCTGTAATATTTAAAGCTCCCCTGCTGTCACTTTACTTTTGAGTAGGACACTACAACATTAATGACCAAAACCATCTCAATACTTGGAATTATTACTCTGTGATTTAAAAATATGATTTATAAAATGTAGATGTGCATAAAAGGAAATTTCAACCTTTGGAAGTGACAAATGTCAGGATTGATCAATCTCTGTGACCTCTCCCTGGATTAAGAGTATAATCTTTTCAAGAACAGTTTTACGATTTATTGTGAAACAAGCATGTTATTGGGTTAATAAGTTTCCCTAATGTTCTGTAAATAGGACACTTCGTATTTGGCGCACAGCCACAAGATACACTTCTCTCTTCCTTTGCCCAAAGCAAAGTCTGTTTTTGAATGTTGTTTTCCAATTACAGTATATAACACATTGAGACAAGTGTTTCAGATTAATGATGATAAAGGTCACAGGAAAGTGCACTGTACACAAAGCATGTACACACAGTAGTGTAAAGTACACTGTACAAACAGTACGTATGCAGTTTGTGAATTACTAACTGATTGAAGCTAATTAATGGGAATTTCTTAAGCTTTCAGATCCCTTGTTACAGAACTACTTACTTTACCTGTTGCAAACAGATGAAGAAATTTTTTTTTTAGGTGAATTTACATTTACTTTAAAATTAGATCAAACAGCAGTGTGTGATATAAGTATGCAATGCTTTTTTCACATTTTTTAAATATCTGAATATATAAATATGGAGTCCTGTAGGTCAGTGGTTAGAGCACTCGCTTTGCAAGTGAGAGACCTGAGTTCAATTCCAGGCAGGGCGAAACCTTGGGCAAGTTTCCTTACTCCACACGCCTAATAATAATCCCTCCAAAAAACCAAAAACAATAATTAAATTGGTCATTTTCAATCTACGACTGTTTGTGGGACATTGCTGTGTGCAATTGGCTGCTGCGTTCGCCCACAAATATACAGTCAATTCACTTTACAGTGTGTTCTGTGAAGCGCTTTGGGACGTCCTCCCGACGTGAAAAGCGCTATATCAAATGCAAGGATTATTATTATTATTATTATTATAAATGAAATACTTCCTTTTAGTGTGTTGAGAAGCTGATCTAGAATGTTTTAATGAACTGTTTAATAATGTGGTCACTATTCGGATTAAAAGACAATGCATCAACAAGCACAGTCATTTCATGAAGAAATTTGGTACATAGCACTTGGATAGGATTTTTCTCAGCTTACACAACAAATTCAACAACAACAAATTACATTTATATAGTGCCTTTAACGTCGGGAGGACGTCCCAAGACGTTGGACAGTCAAGGATTGGGACCTGAGGTGGAGGTTGGGATCAGGAGGGGTTGAGGGCAAGGAGAGTAGGGGTAGGAGGGTGACCGAAGGTGCGGTCGAAGAGGAGGATCTTGAGATGGTCTTGAAGGTGACAAGGCAGGGAGTGAGGCAAATAGACTGTGGGATGGACAAGACACCTGGCCTGCATTCTACTGTATAACTGCACATTCTCTAACTATTCAACAACAATAACTTTGCTAAAATAAAAATAATGAGAATCAGGTCAAATATAGATAGAGATACAAGTGCTTTATGAGCAGTGTAGGCACATGGTTAGAAACTATGTCTAGTCAGAGCATTTGAACAACTATACAAAAAGATACAAAGATTGCACAAAGCACCAGCACCGACAGTCCAATATAGCTGTGCCCTTCATCACATCAACCCATTTCCCTTTTTTTTTGTAAATGTTGTAAAATTTTACGTCATCCCAGACAAGGAAAAAAAGCTAATATCTTAAATAAGTTTGGTACAAAATAGATACATTTAATGTGATGTAAAAAAAAAGCTTCAGTCATAATTAGCCAAGATGAGAAGATTTCAAAAATATACACATGATTAGGCAATGCCGGTAGAAACATCTGTTGAGCCAAGTCTTCTCATTGCTCCAACTCTGTTCTTAAACAATAAGCTGTTCAACGGGAGACACATTGCTGGAGCATTGCAGCTGAAGTTGCAGAAGAACAAAGAAAACTGTCAAAGTAACTGTACATGGAAGGGACTGATGACTAATTCACACAGGAAGTAATGTCACACAAAGAGAAAGAAGCGCAAAAGGAACACATTTTCTTGAAAGTTTTCAGCATATGGGAAGAAATACTGCAACCCATACGGTGTGTGAAACAAACAAAACAAACAGCAAGTGGCAGCACACATACTGTGTTTCTTTTTCCCGAAACTTCAACAAGTTCAGAACTGGAACATTGGAACATTGTTTTAATCCCTCCAAAGATGAAGGTGAGAAAAGGAACCTGAAGTGTGTTCCTTTGTGAGGGTCATTGTTTCTCTGTATTGTCTAAAAAACATCCAAACTATATTTTATTGCTGTGGAGCTTTTGTTATATGTTGCAGTTCAACCCATGGGCCAGATTGCTGATGCATCTGTGCCCCCAAATCCACCAAAAGGTTAGAAAGTGATGCGTTCAAAACTGAGCTGACTGTGATTTCTGGTTAAGATAATGCACTCAGGGCCCCATTATTCATTGGTTCATCTCTCTGCTTTCAAAGGACAGATTGGCTGAGCTCTTTTAGCCTCCTGTTTTCCCTTTGCACACACAGTTACATTCCTCATGGTGCTCCAGTGCTACGTCTGCCAGAGATTTGTGCAGTCGTCTCCCAGGGCTTCTGTATCGCAGCTGAAGAACCTGCAAAAAAAAGACAAATAAAGACAGAGCGTTAAACAAAAATACAATAGAAGTGGATGAGGCCCTAATTCAGTCATAATCAGATTTTCTTCATGCACTTTAAATCTTCCATTGCTAACAGACATCTAAATAAAAGAAGTATGATATGCCTGGATTGCACTGATAACCAGCATGGAATCTTTTGTCACCATTGATTTGTTTTTTCTTGCCATTGATTTATTTTTTCTTAGAAAAGATAAAAGCGGCCCTGAAATCAACATGATACCATCTGTATCAGTATACAGTGTCTCACTTGACACTGAAAACAGCCATGGTAGGTGCTCCACTGAAGTGAAGATGGGATATTCACAAAGTGAAGGTCACTGTGCTAACAGTGTCTTGTGGTTTAGAGTCACTGTGCTAACAGTGTCTTGTGGTTTAGAGTCACTGTGCTAACAGTGTCTTGTGGTTTAGAGTCACTGTGCTAACAGAGTCTTGTGGTTTAGAGTCACTGTGCTAACAGTGTCTTGTGGTTTAGAGTCACTGTGCTCCACAAAGATAATTCTATATATGTTAATAAGCCTTGCATTTGATAATAGTGCATTATCGCATCAAACAAAATGTCTCAGTGTTTCATAGTGTATTGTGTAGTGACTGTGTTTTAACAAATATGTCCCGAAACAGCCATGTTTGCCCAATTTTATGTGGGGTTTGTTGGCCAGGACACCAGGAGAACCTCTCTTCTGTTAACAATCTGTTCAGTGGGATGAACATGAACACATTCCTCAGCACTATCATTATTATATGTAATATGATCGACTGATACAAATGTAATAAAAGGAGATACACTTGTGATACACTTTTCATAACTGGTGATCTTAATTGAACATGACACTCTTGCTGTTTCAGCGCTTGTATTTTATTTTGTCAGAGCAACAGTGGGGAAATTAAATTGTTTCACCCAGGGATACAGCGGCTTTTCTCGAGGTCATTATACTGATGTGATTCATGTAGAGAACATGTTGACATGAGTTAAAAACTAGTACATTTAGTGAATTTATCGCAGTGAATAATAAAAACATATTATAAATAAAATGACATGAATGTTGTGAAATTAAATTAGATATTTAAAAATCATATACTCATATATTGATATAAGATTATCTGAAATCAGGCAAACAGGATGGACCTTGGTCTTCTTTCACCTAGCAATTATTATGTTCTTAGTTTCTTAATTACTTCAAAGGGCTTTAAATCGCAGCCTTTGTTGATGCAAAAAGATGGGAGTTGGAAACAAATTGAAATGAGAATGCGAAGTAGAATTGTTCCAGTCAGGGATAAACCTGAATTGTGCCGGTCAGGAATAACAGTTAAGACTTCATTTTTATTTTCAACTTTAATGAATGAAACCAACTGAAATGGGGCAACACATCTTTGAGAAATCCATTCAGCCTTATTATTTCCCCACTCGATTGACTGCTTGACAGCTGAGAGAATTCACCTGTTGTGATAGGAATTCATCTTGATGTGGGGAGTTTAGCACACCTTCCTGAGTTCTTAGGACTTGCTGACCACTCTGTACACTATTTTTATGAACCTGACGTGAAACACATTCAACTTTAGTTACGATTACAAGTAAATTCAGTTGTAGCACGGTTGCATTACAGCACAGTCGGCTGTGTTCAACATCTGAGGCCCTGCGTGAGAAGTGAGGGGTGAGAAATGGCTGATGTCTGGGTCATCAAGCCACTGCTGATTGTCACTTCCTCTCCACTACATGTATGTGCAAGAAGTGTCTCTAATGTCATTTCCTGCACACTGTGCACATGTCCTATGCGCGTGAAGTGATGTCAGCGGGGCTTCCTGCGCAAGAACTGACTTCACACAACAACCTGGTAACTCAGAAAGCCATTTATTAGCACAGGAAGCCGGCATATCAGTGCCAGAAGCCGGGCATAACCTACTTCCAGTTAGCAGGGTTAACAGTAGACTTGCACTATGAGCAAGCCATAGCAAGGACGGAGCTATAGCAAGGTTTCCCTGTTATTAGAAGAGTTATTTTGTATGTTGAAGTTCCCTTTGAGGTGGAGACTTAAACTACACTCTTGTGAATTTGAGAAACATGGTTATTGTTATTCTGCAGTCTTCTGACAATTCATACCACTTGGTGATCATCAATCATGTTCAGAAACACCAAACTTTTGTCTGGTACCCTCCTCGAATACAGGCACAATTTCAAATTGATATGATCCAGCTTAAAGTTGCGACAGCATGTGACATCTGATCTTTTCTAAACTTCCAATAGTTAATCATCAGTTTGATGCTGACATCCACAAGCTTAATTCTGTCATGCACAATATCTAAGTTAAGAGAAAATGGCCCATTACTTCTTCATTTTTACAGGCAGTAAAATCTAAAGAAGGATGACATTATCTTTACTCTTCCCGGTGGAGAGCAAGTTAGCTTTATTGTGCTGCATTAGTTGAAGGCTATTGTAATCCAGTTTTATTAAAATAAAGGATTTGCTGAGTTCTTAAGTACCTCGTAGTATTTTTTTGAGACTTTGACGGGGACGCACTGACAGTCCAGGCAGCTGAGGGAGCAGCAAGCACAGTTTCCTCCGCAGCGCTTCACCAGAAGGCAACCAGGCCAGTAGAGGGTGTCAGTCCGTTTGAGCTCCTCTCTCAGGGACACCGACAGATTGCGTGGCGTGCAGCTGTACAGCTTCACCTCCTCTTTCAGCAAGTTCAGATCCACTGCGTCACAAAACCAGAAACAGGCCACCGTAAACATTCTTCTTTCTCAACAGTTTCAACAGTGAATGCAACAGTAGTAAGAACACACAAGAATTTCGAAGAATATATGATACTCTACGTCTTAATCCGTTACTTAAATCAATCTGCAGCCAAAAAATCTATCCAGTTCCTTTATACATTTTCTGATACTTGTGTTGGAAAGTACTTGAATGGCATAACAGCTGGGAAAAGCGCCAATGGTGCAAACTTCATTTGCTGCAGAGAAATATATATAACATATATAAGTGTAACACATATATTATATCTATATGTTATACATCTCTCCAACACATGAAACCTGCGCTCTAAGGGCATTTCAGCTCTGTGAAGGTTTTGCAAGTCAGAGTGACGTATTCTCCTTAAATAAAATGCAGTTTATATTTTTGATACATTTCTGTCATTTACAACAATCAAGACTTTTTCAACCCTTCTCCATGGCCTCCATTGTTTCCTTGAACAGCAAGTTTGATTCATTTCCTTCAGTTTGTTTTATCTGCTGGATTGCTTTTGTCAATGGTCCACATATGCTGCTCTCCAACTTCCCGCTTGTCAAAAGCTCGGCACACCTCACACTTTCACCCAAGGTTCAAGCAGCATAAATTCAAGCCTGACATTTTTATATAAATTTATTCTGGGCAAATATTTTTCTAACTTTCTGCACATTGGCAAATGCTTTCCTGCTTCTGGTCTGGCTAACTCCTCTTGCTGAGGTGCAGTTCCACAGATGCTTTTTGGCAGTCCCCTGCCCAAGTAGACATTGTTCATGCTTGAGCCTTGACAGTGAGTGTTGGCAGGTCATATGATGTTGGGAGCATCACAACCGAGCCCGACCCCTCTCCACCCAAAAGTATAACCAGTAGAGGGTGCTGTAGAGAAAACCCCAGATGGTTTCCCTACCCTAACCCAGGGGAAGACGGAGCCAATTTTGCCTGCCCATGCAGGTTCAATTTAGACTTGCACTTGAAAGACTCAGCAGTTTCTACACGCAATGCTGCTGTTTCACCCACAGTCAATTCACTTTACAATATACTCTTGAAGGGTTTTGAGACGTCTCAATGACGGATAAAGTCCTGTATCAAATGCAAGGAATATTATTATTATTCAACACATCTGACTGCAGAACCTTGACTCAAATGACAAAAAAACTAACTTGTCTAGTACTGTAATTTTCAGTAAAAACAAGCAAGCTAATGTGATTTGGGATTGTGCCTATAAATGTATCCCTTCTTTATGTAAGAATATAAAAAAGTAACAAGTAAACAAGGCATTCAGTCCAAGAAGCCTATATGCCAACAGGTTTGACAGGCTTTGATGTGTGCATAGAACATTGTGGCAACGTTCAAGGCATGTCTCAAAACATACCTCTTTGACCGCGCTTCCAGTCATCTTCCCCCCTCCCCGTCTTTGGCTCCCACCTCCAGCTCAGAGGCCCATGCAGCATTGTCAAGTGCATTGAGACATCCTCCCAAAATTAAAGGTGCTATATAAATGTAGATTGCATTGTATTTGCATTGTTTTGTATAGAAGAAGCAATTGTATTATGTGGACTCTTCCCGTTACATAAAGTAACTCCCACATAGAGCATCACCTAGAATAATCATGTGTAAAATTGAAAAATAAATCATTAACAAATTGACTTAACCTCTTTGGGCCTCTTTGAATACCCACCTTTGTAATATATTTAACAACTTCACATTTCTAAAAAGTCGAGGAACATAATAGTTCTGCTTTGGATATTTTTTATCTAAGTTTATATACACATTGAAAAGCGAGGTTCCAAGCACTAGAGACATACCCAAACTGATATCTTTTCAACTCATATAATGGCCATTTAAATTACCCTCGGTAATTCCATCCTTCGAGTGAGATGTTAAGGTCCTGTGGAGGAGCTAGCACTAACTTGGGCTCATTGGGTCAAATGGTCTTCTACTGTGCTGTGCTGCAAAAATATTTACGAACCATATCAAGACAATTTTCCTTTCAGTTCATTATTCCTCCCCTTCCACTACAAATCCTCATTTCACTCTGCCGTGTCTATCAGCCTGCCATGTGGAACTTTGTCAAAAGCAGCATAGGAATATAATGCATTTAAATTACACTTGGTGATTCCAGAAAAATAAATTTAGTTAAAAATACAATAGGTAAAAATGATCATTGCCACACAGAATTTTTGTATCTAGTTGTACTAATGAAAATGCCTCTTTAATACCCTAAGCACTTTACTCCATTATTTGTAATGAACTGCATCATCCACCTATTATTCTGACTCAAGGAGAATGTGGTAACTAGTGAATTCAATGAAAGAGATAATCTGAATGATCGGAAAAAAATTCCCTCACACCACAGCCAATCTACCGTGATTCTACTGCATTTCCCATTTAACTACTTGAAGAAAATAAAAAAGTTATGTCAATCTTAGATAAATTTCAATATTTCAGGTGTTTTTCATTTTGAAATCCAATGTACTTATTAATGTTCATTTCATGCAATTCACAATGTAGAATTAACAGTTTGCAAACCTCATTTGAGTACTCTCATAATATAATAACTCTGGAACTCTCTCCCTCAATTCCGCTGCCTTGCCCCCTCCCTCCCCATTTTCAAATCCCATCTAAAGACCTTCCTTTTTGATCGTGTTTATAGTCACTTCCCCCCTCCCTCTTCCCCTGGCTCGGGGTCAGACTCTGGGAGTGCGGTGGGGGGCTGCTGACTCCGCGCTGATAGTGCTACCAACTGAGCCAGATTCACAGTTCATATCATTAACTTAAGCACATTTAAATAAAAAAATACCATAGGGGTCTCTAATGTGCAACTAAAACAACAACTTGAACTTGTATAGATGGTGAGGAGCACTGAGCAGAGATGGAAAGTAGAGGACTTGACGAATGTTGCCCAAAAGTAGCCAAAGAAAGATTATAAAAATATTTTGAAGGTAGAGAGAGATGACAGTCAATGGCATTTTGGAAGAGGGCACCAGAGAACGAGGACATAATGGTAGAAGGTTTTGGGGAGAAAATGGCATAACCAAGTGATATTGTCTTGGTGTCAGGTCTAGGGCTTGAGGCAGAGCTAGGGTTCAAACATTAGTCATCATTTTTTAATGGAAAATGTATCGGTGATCAGCATGTTCTAGACTTAAGTTCCTAGGTCATTTTAAGTGCTATGTTGTGTCTGCCCGATGCACCTGATTTCCATTTATCTGCACATAGGAAGCATCTCTTAGTTGGGTGGTGGACAGAGTGGTGTGTCTGTGACAACTACTTCCCTCAATCACTGCTAGGAGAGAAAATGATCATTTGAATTCTTAACGTGCTTGAGTTTTGAACAACCCCATCGCTTGGCAAACAAAGGTGGAGCGAACAAAACGATTTCATTTGTAAAGAAAATCACATTTAGACACTAACTGTTAACTTCATATAGCTTTCCATTGACGGCTGTAAAGTGTAATCTTGACAAACTGTTCGTGACATGTTGGAACAGCCTAAACATGTTACATAAGGTACATAAAAGGTACAGTTACATAAAAGTCAGGCCTCTCTCCAAGCATTTGTACTGGGTGATTCTGAGGAGTTTACACCAGCTCCAATGCCAGTTATTTTCCTTCCAATTGCAATATTCATCAAGTAAAACAACTGGCCTGTTGTTCCCACAGGTAGTAAAGGTTTTATTGCTTTATTGAGAATCAAGGTGAAGGGCCAAGGCCTTAAGTGTACTGTCACGGTTGAAAAATAGTCACAGAGAGAAAAGGTAAGTCAAGAAAAATAGGTAGCATGGCTTTTGAACAGTTGCAGGAAGAAAAGAAGACTGAGGGAGCTAAAGAGATCTGTTATTTGAGGTTCTGTGAAAGAAAGAGCAGGAGGTAGTATGAAGAGCCTGATTTCAACACTATGATGATTACAGAGAGATCGCACACCACACAATGTATTTCAAGCTTGAGACAAATGAGAACATTTGGAAAGGCGTAACTGTAGTCATAGCGATCAAAATAGAGAAATTATATAAGGAATGGAAGCGAGAATAACAATTACACCCAATGTCTAATATTCATCAAATATTGATTTTCCTCTCCCATTATTTATTGCTCCAGTCTGAGATTAATAATAAATAATGATACCGAAACACCACTTTGGGAGTGGAGTCCATTAAAATGTCCTGAAGGATTTCACATCATGGAATATATCATAAACTGATTACTAAATGTAGAGATCCTATTATTATACCTTTACGACAGGAAACTCCATTATATAGGTGTAAGGAAAAGATTGATCAGTGTATGATCAACCTCAATAAGTTCAATTGAAGTACAGTGACTATTGCTACATGGGTAAATGCAACATCTCTCTCATCTGTGCTGGCAAAATTGCTACTAACTAGTTTATTCATTCACTGTTCCAACAAATTTGTCTTTCACCTTGTGGCTGTTTGTGGGACATTACTATGTGCAAATTCACTGCCACTTTTGTCACCAAAAAGCACAGTCACTATCCTTTACAGAAATCTCTGTGAAACACCTTGAGATATTTTGACATGATCAAGCACTATATCAAAAGAATGGATTATTAATATTGAATATTCTCTGATATTAGTTCCCACATCTAAACCCACAAGAACATATTGTTTGACCCACTAAAAGAACAACAACAAATTGCATTTATATAGGGTATTTCATGTCAGGATGACAACCCAAGGTGCTGGACTAAAGCTTGTCCTTTGTACACACTAAGCAAATCCCATTTTATCGTGGATACTGCCATTCAATCTATCTTCTGGAGGAAAGTGTTGCACACAGACTCGTCTTGCCAAAGATAAAACTTGAAAACATTGACCCACTTCAATTATGGCCTGCTGTTCCCACAGACAAGATTCTTCCCCAACCTGAAAAGCTGAAAAATTTCTCAGTCTGCATCAGTGCCTGGAGCCTCCAAAATTATTATCAACTAGATACCTATCTTCTGAAGGAG